TTCTTTTGTTCCGAACAAACAGTCATAAATCCTAGCCCCAAGTTCAAACTGTATCTGGTTTTTGGGTGGGTGGGGGGATGGCCAGTGGCCCCAGCATTCTGTGGATTCCGTTCTTTTCCGTTCCCTTATTTTATGTGGCACTTATATGGGGCATGGCTGGCATGGCTGGCAGGACTGGCAGGACACAGCGTGCCCCAAAAAAGAAATCCATTTCACTTATTCCTCATGCACTTTTATGGCTCTAGTCCGCCGCCGTCGACGTACAAAATTTTGCACATTAAAAGCGAACTTTTTTACATGACATATGTATGCCAGAGTTGGAGCCCCATCCGCGCCGTGCTGCGCCGTGCCGTGCCCCGTCTTAGCCCACTTTTGGCTTCTTTTTGGCCAAATGTTGCTGGGCTCTTCCGCCTTCTTTATGGGTGGGGGCGGGCCAACTGTGTCCCCTTCCACACTGGGTGGTTCCTTCTGGCTAAATAAGGACCTCGCCGCTGTCCCATTCCTGGTCATATGTGAGCCTGCCTTCCGTCCCATAGATGGTCATAAATGGCCCCCTCTTCTGGCCCGTTCCTGGTCATATACGAGCCCCTCTTCTGCCTCGTTCCTGGCCATATGTGAGCCCCTCTTCTGCCCCATTCTTGGTCACATACGAGCCCCTCTTCCGCCCCATTCCTGGTCATATACAAGCCCCTCTTCTGCCCCACTCCTGGTCATACATGAGCCTCTCTGTTGCCCCCCCTGTTGGCCCCCTCTGCCACCCCCTTTTGGCCACATATAAAGCTTACTCAAATATACATTTCATATTCATGGTGAGGCGCTTAAAAAGCCAAGAAATTAACTCCGGAAAAGTGTGGAAAGAGCTGCCAGCGATAGAGTCGATGGGACATGTGTAGGGCAAAGCCCTACCCCTGCCGCCCCCCCCCCCCCCCTTTCCAGTGGTTGGGGATTAGGGGTAGAGGCCTACTTAGCACCCCCCCTCCCTTCCCTCACCGTACCGTTTCCTCTTGCCCGTCGAGAGTTTTCCATGGGTTTTCCACACTATTTTGTGCTTAGTCGGCGGCTCATCTGCATTTTATGGTCCAAAAAAAAAAAAAAAGAAAAACATCATCATCATTTTTTCGCATTTCATTATGGCGCGCACTGTATGCGTGTGTGTCTCCCTCTCTCTCTCTCGCTCTACTCAACCTTTCTCTAGTGAAAACTTGGAGCAGCATCATTTAGTATGCTTCATTTCATTATGTCCCCCCCCCCCCTGCCCCTGCCCCTACCACACTCCTTCTCTCTGTCTCTGTCTCTCATTTTGAAAAACTCTTAACTTTCGCTGCAACCGCAAGCATTTTGGGGCCGCATTTTGTGGGCAATCCTTCTGTGTCCTGGTTCTCGTTCCCGTTACCGTTTTGGTTCTGGTTCTGGTTCTGGTTCGTCCTTAGCAAACGGTGCGAGAAATTGTCCTCTCTTTTACCTCCATTTCCCCCCCGTCTTCACCCTCCTTAACCGCTTTTCCTAGCGCCATTTCCCTATGCCTTTCCTTTTTGCTTTTGCTTTTGCTTTCTCTTTTTTTTTTTGGATGTCGCTTGCAGCTTTCTTTCTGTTTGCTTTTTTTGTTGTTGCTGGCTGGCAGAACTCCTTTGGGTGTCTCTGCCATTTGCCTCGCACTAAGCCCCCTCTCCCTCGCCCACCCCCTCTCCCTCCCTCTCACTCTCTTCGCTCTGTCTCGCTCTGTCAGTCATTTTTTCCTCGTAATTTTCATAAGCAGCCGTTAGACGTTGGATTTATGTTTTTAAACGCCTTTTAATATGCGAGAGGATATTCGCGCGTAGCTGCCGCCCGACTCCCCCTCCCCACCCCCCCCAACAAGACACAAAGCCACTCGGCAAATGCCGCATAGCCACCGTGGTCCTAGCCAGCCACCCCTCACCGCTCACCCCCTGCATGCCACATCCGTAGCACCATCTTTATCCTTGTTGGAGCTTCTTCTTCCTTCTCCTCCTCCTCCTCCTTCGTTCTTCTTCTTCTTCTGGCTTCTGGCTGTCGTTTCTTGGTAACGCGCCGCAAATCCAGTGAGAATGCGTTTAAAAAAATATTATAATAATAACATTACGTAAATAATTGTTGGCTGCTGCTGCTCCTCCTTGCAGGGGGTGGGGGGGGGGGGGAGAGACAGGGGAACAGTCGACTGCTGAGTGGGTTCGGTGGTTATTGCAGGGTGCCAGGCACGCGCCGCTGGAATAGCAACGGAAATCAGCTGCGTGTTGATAAGCACGCATAGCTCTGTGGAGGCGGTGGAGGTGGGGGTGGGGGGCAGTAGGGAGCAGGCAGCAGGCACCATGAGGCAGGAACAGAAATTCGAAGGCTGAACAGCAATTCAAAGGGGGGGGCAACCTTAGCTGGAAGATGGAGCCCTCTTCGAGTTTGTTTCCTTCTTCTGCCAAATGTATCTGTGTATCTGTATATCTGTATATCTGTGTGTGTGTGTGTGTGTGTTTGCGTGCGTATTATGGTGTGCTTTGCGGTTTTTTTGTACCAGGAAAACGCTACCGCTAGACGAAGGGCGGAATATCCTACTCTGGAATATAATATTAGACAATTCCAAGAATTTTCAATACACTATATCTGCGTCCTATATATAGGCCGGAGCCATGGAACCTGCAATTAATTCGATTAAGTGATTCCAGGAAGAACAGACCCCCCCCCCCCCCTTGATCAGATTCGAGGGACAATTGAATGAAAACGGTACTTTATTGCCATTTAAATGGCAAATCAATCAAGGGACCTGCATTTCTGTCGAAAAATTAATAATTCCCTTATTTTCAATAATTTGAAAACAAATTGCAATAAAATGCATAAATTTCGCTTAATTTAATTCCCCCCTAAAAAAACACACACACACACATACATACATATATTTAGGTGTTTTTTAATTGTGTTTTCTATAATCGAACAATGTCCATATTGACCTCGAAAACCATAAACCGAAATAATTTATTTGTTGTATAATTTAAATGCAACAAAGAAGGGGGAAAATCGAATGAAATTAGTTTGGGGGAAATCTCTTTGTGGCACTTTGCTGCTCCTGCATTTGCTCCTGCTGTTAGCCAAAGGATCCTTCTTTCTTGCAGAGCATTATGTGTCCCAAGAAGGGTGGGGAGGGACCCCAAAAACACAGAGGCACATTTGTAACGCGCTGTCTAACCGGCCTCAGGAGATGGTGGCAGGCGAGGGGGGGAGCAGGGACAGGAACAGGCACAGGAGCACCCAAAAATGTGCGTGCAAGAGAAATTGAGAAAGGCACAACCAACAAAAAAAAAAAAAAACGAAAGACAAGAAAAGAAAGACAGGGTAGAGCTCTGCCTGCAGACAGAAGCACTCCACACACCACCTTCGCCCCCCACACCCCCACCCCCATCACTTTTGGGTGAAAATTTTGTTGTCATCATCACTTTAAGAGAGACAGAGAGAAGGTGCGGCAGAGGGAGGGATGGGGAGAGGGAGAGGGAGAGAGAGAAATGCTTGGGTGACGCTGAAGGTAAAGTCCTGTAGACAGGGGAAGCCAAAGCCACCGACGCCTGTCAGACACAAAGTTATCTTCTTTCCTCCCTCCACCCCTCCACCCCGCCACCACAGCTCCCACGGTTTTTGCAGCCTGTTTTCGTTGTTGTGTTTCCTCGCTTTTTCCTGTGGTTGTTGTTGTCATCTTCCGTTTTTAATTTCATCTGCCATTTACTGCTACTTATGACACATCCTTTTTGCCGCGGTACCCCCCGCCTCCCCCCCACTGCCACTCCATTCACAGAGCCACCAACAGGACAATCCGCCGACTCCCCACCAGAACCTGAGCTCTGAAAGACTTCCCACAAAAATATCTGTATCTGTCCCATTTTTGGAATTTCTGTTTCCCTTTTTCTTTTTTCATGTATTTTATTTTTTTTTCGCTGGTATTATTATACTCTTTCAGTAAGCTATGACGATTCGGAAAGAGAGAAAGTGAAGCAAATTCGAAGACAAATAAAAACAGAATTTACGCACCAAAAAAAGCGTCCCATTTGCTGAAAGAGCGAGCCGAGTGGGCTGCAGCTCGCAAACGAAACGAGCATGATCGGACATGTTCAACAGAGGGAGAGGCAACGAACTGAACTTGCTCTCAATGCAAGATTCGCAGCAGCTCGGCATCGGAAGCCGAGTGTCGTATTGTTGTTGTTGTTTCTGGAGCGACGCAACTGCGAGAGCATTTGTTGTGCCGTGAGAGCGAAGCAAAGCCTCGCAGATCAAACGAAGATCAAGAGATAAGACAGCAGACTAAATGCAAGAGGAGGAAAGAGAGTCGTAACCTGAATTTTGTTATGCCCTCCCTCCACATGCAAGCGCTAAAAGCGAGAGTCGTGGCCCCAGGCTGAGTTCAGCTTTTCGCTGACGACACGAGCAGGATCGGACATGTTCGACGACGAGAGATAACGAACTAACCTGCTCTCAATGCAAGCTCGCAGCAGCTCGGCATCGGAAGCCGAGTGTCGCGCTTTGTTGTTGTTGTTGTTTCTGGAGCGTGAACAAAGCCTCGCAGATCAAATGAAGATAAAACTGCACTGCGCGCTCGAAACGGCATACAAGAAAAATGCAAGAAGAGCAGCTCCGTCTGTAACGCAAATATGTGCATACATTCATGTGTATTCAATTTCGTATATTCTCAAAGCAATCTTCAAAGCCACTTTTTCCCTCTATCAAACTTTTCACAAGACTCTAATTTTCAATAAATGGTACAAGAAAGATCTTGTTATTATCATATCATATACTTAATACCTATGGGAAATACCCTAGGAATCAATAGTTTAAATAGTTATAAGACATTTTTTTTTTCTAATAAAAAATCCAGTCCCGTTTAATCAAAATTTCATATGGCACTCAAAAAACCCATATATTCTGTAGGGTATACAACGTTTCGACTTTCGAAACTAGATTTCGTTGGCATTTTCTTGCTGTATTTTTGGTAGGAGATTGGTACTTACCTTGGGATGTGCACGTCGCGGAAAAGCTACTTTTGGATCGACCTGCGGAAGAGAAGAGGAGAGCAACGTGAGCGAAACAGAGATAGCGTGAGTGGGGGGGTAAATGGGCAGCACTACGGGTGGGGGGAGGGTGAGGGGTTGGGGAAGGGGAAAGGGAGTGTGGGGAAAAATCGTATGCTTAATGACATTTAAATGAAAAGAACATTTCGCGCAACTCTTCATATTAATAGCGTAGCATAAATCTTGCATAAGCCCTGCACTGCACATTAAATGAAATTGCCCCAAAGTGGAGGCATGATGCCACACAGGGGGTGGGGGGTGGGGGGTGGGGCTGGCTGTGACTGTGACTCTGACTGTGGCAGTGGCAGTGGCAGTGGCTTTGGCTGTGGCAGTGGCTCTGCCAGTGGGTGGCTCTTCAAGCTGAGCACGCACGAATTAACGCGTAACAAATTGCTCGGCCAGCGGGCAAAAGGCAGAAAGGGGCGTGCGGGCGGGGGCGAGGGGGTAGATAGGACACTGCCGCAGAGGGGGAAAAACCGAGAGATTTCTCTCCTTTGCGACTTACGCCAATAAGCAGCGTCATTAAAAATAATTAAAAATCATAAAAATTCAATTTTAAGCACTTTTTTTTTCTCTCGTCTGATTTTGCTTCCTTTTTTCTCCTTCTCCGGGTTGGTTTTTCCTTGTGGCTTCCACATTAGTGGGGGCGAAGCCTGAGAGACAGCTCGTCTTGACAGGTCCCCCCGCCACGCCTTCAATGCAGGGGGGGTGGCGGGGCATGGATGTATCCTTGGGATCTGCGACTAAATCTCAGCCAAACTGAAGTGCTTCTGTTGCAGTATCTTAAGCCAATGAAGTGGGGGTGAGGGGAAGGGGGGATGGGGAAAATTACTGGCAAAATGGGCTCAAGGAAGCAACGCAATATCCTCTGGCGAAATCACAGATGAAAAGTTGTCACAGGACACGAATGTGACTAGGATCTAGGCAGGACATGCGGCAGGCCATGCGGCAGGCGGCGGCGGTGGCTGCCTTCTCTCTCTCTCTCTCTCTCTCTCTCTGTGTGTGTGTGCCGTGTTGATTTCCTGTGTTGCAGGACAGAAAACGGGAAAAACAACGGCAGCCGCATGGCGGGAAATTGATTTTTAGATTAAAATTAAAACTAATCAGCGTTGAGTGCGGCACGATAGAGAGGGAGCGGGCAGGAGAGAGCGGGAGAGAGGATGAGTGAAAAGTGGGCAAAAGTGGGTGTGAGCTGGCCCGCTTTTTTCGGTGGAAAAACACATCAGGCCGAAAAACCGTAACGTAAAATGAAATGAAATGAAATTCATTTTCGTTTCGTTTTCGTTGCTGTTCAGCCAAACGGAAACACGGAGAATCCCTGACCATTCAGTGAAAAATCAAGGAGACCGAAGAGCGGCGGCGGGAATATGTATATCCTGTACACACACACACAGATACGGTGTATCCAACAGATATTCAACATATAAATACGTGTCCATGTATGTGAATGCAGTTTTGCAAAAATTACACATAAATGCGAGAGGGTAATGCGCATTTTATTTACAGTTGGAAAGGCATATTCAAAAAGCCTGATCAAATGGACATCGCTTGGAAGGACATCCATCCGTCCATCCATTCATCCATCCGTCCAGCAACAGCGACAGCGACAGCGACAGCGACAGAGGAGCTTCACTTAATTAGGCTAATGCCAATGCGGCGTATGCGTAATGCGTCCGAAATGCAATTACAGCAGAGTCTTCACTGTACGAAGGGATGTGCATATGTAAATGTGGGCGTGGATTGGGCGGACAGTCGGCTAATCAAAAGCCGCATTTTTCTGTTCCCAGAGTCTGATTTTGGTATTCCTCTGAATGGAGGAATGGAGATCCTTTAAAGTTAATTATAGCTAGTGAGCTAGTGATGAGATGGGTATGCCCTCTGTCCCTCAAAGGGCAATGTTTAGGACCATCAAAAATAGCAAACAATTCGATTAATGTTGTAGAAATGGCATGACGGCGAGGCGTTACATATCTCTTTGGAATATCCATCTGTAAAATCTAGATAAGAGCAGCTGCCTCTAATGGAACTAACCAGTTTAGGCCTGAACTTAAAGATTGATATTTTATCGAATAAAACAAAAACACCTTCGGAGAGCTCCACCTCTAGAGCTCTAAGAAAGCAGAGATAGTTCATATTTCGTTATGATCTATTCGATGATTATGGATCATCGTCACCGGGAATCCCAGGTCTTCCAGCACACGATCAAGTGTCTGGAGGAAAGGTCAAACAATCGATGCTTCGCAGCACAGAAATTAGTTTGCTTAATTCTCCAAAATTCAATGAACTTTCCAATAAAAAACGGAAACATTCTGGAAGGATTTTCCTCCTTTTTTTCGGGAAAGTACGAGTATGTAAGGGAAGGCTCTCTGGACTCTGGATTCTCTCGATTCTGGACTCTCGATTCAGGACTCTCGATTCTGGACTCTCGATAATGGACTCTCGATTGGGGACTCTCGATTAGGGACTCTCGATTCTGGACTCTCGATTCTGGACTCTCGATTCTGGACTCTCGATTAGGGACTCTCGATTATGGACTCTCGTTTCGGGGTCTGGTTTCTGGACTGCGACTGCTTCACTCTTCCTTCGTGCCTTAATTTGGCTTGGAATATAAACTGCTTTTAAATTAAATTTCTAATACTCTTCCAGTCTATAAAGGGCCCGGTATGGGGCTACTATAATATGTAGAGGTGTGCTTTAAGGCCTCGCTGTACTGCCATATCCCAAAATTGCGGACTTTTACTACCAGAAAGATACTTTTGATGGCACCCCAAATTTCATCAACTAATCATAATATTCTCCCTTGAACAACAGGAAAAAAAAAACAAAAAAAAAGAGCCACCATTGCAGCTCATTTGATGTGCTTTTGGCTCCACTCTCCTCTCCTCTCCTCCCCCCTCCCCTCCTGCACTCTTACAGGTAATTAAAAATTGTTTGGCCTTTACATCGCCCTCCACCTCCACCTCCACCTCCGCCTCCTTCTTTTTTTTTGGCAACGATTTTTTATGGTAGTTTGGCTGATGTTGTTGTTGTTGTTGTTTTTATTTGGCAGAGACACTGTTATGCTTTGACTTTCTAATTGCTGTCAATAAACGTGGAGTAGAGTGGAGGAGAGGAGAGCAGGGGAGAAAGCAGGGGAGGGAGCCCCAGAGAGAGGCTCACAAATTTATGTTGGTGATGAGATGACGTCGCGCCACTGCTTTTGAGCAAATATTTTGCATAGTTTTCCCTCAAGTGGGGAGTCTTTTTTTTTTTTTGGTTTTTTTGATTTTTGTTTGCACACACAACAAAAAATGAGTGGAAAATAGTGAAAATAGGGATATAGCTCAGGTCTATGTAGGGGTAGGGGGGCAGAAGGGGGACATATGGGGTCTATAAACATTCAAACATTTACCTTTTTGCCATCCAGCTCGTGTGTGCCTTGGGTGAGTACCTTATCCACGCTATTTGGATCGCTGAATGTGACAAAGCCAAAGCCTCTGCAACGACAAGAACCGTACCGGGAACAAAAAAAGAGACAAGAAAAAGATGGCTAGATAGATAGATAGACAGATAGATGGATATATGTATGGTATGTATGTGTATAAAGTGTGAGAGAGAGAGAGAGAGAGAAGGGCTTGGAGAGACGTTGGAGAGAAGTTCCTGCAAATATTTGCACAACCAAAAGCAGACGGAGATGGAGACGACGGTGCGAGGTCCTCGAGAGGCAAGTAACTGAAACTGAACCTGAATCAACGGAAACGAGAGAACCGACCCAGGACGGACGGACGGACGGACGGGGGGGTACAAGGGGTTCGGCGGAGGGGGGGGGGACTGGGACCTGCTGCCATCGTCAGTTTAGCACGTGCGCCAATTAGGCGCTCAAATTACATCAAAATATTGCCAGAGAGAGAGAGAGGGAGAGAGAGAGAGAGAGAGGGGTGGGGGGGAGGCACGGTACTCCCGGCTCCCCTTTTTTTTCGCCGAACAGTTCGAAGCCGCTAACGGCAGACGCTTACAAGCCATTACACTCGTCCCCCCACTCTGCCCCACACTCTCCCCGTCTCTCTCTCTCTCTCTGTCTTTCGTTCGTGTTGTGATAAACTTATTCTTGTTAAATATTTAATTAAAATGCTTATTATCTCGCACTGCATTTTAATGAGTCTCCCATGCCACCAAAAACCGAAACTCGGAGGCTGAAACCAGAGCCAGAGCCAGAGCCAGAAGCGAGATTCAGAGAGTCGGAGGCACAATCCACAGCCAGAATGAGGCACAGAGGCAGAGGCAGCAGCAGCATCATCACCCAGACAGCAGCAAAAAGACAACAAACCAGTTCAGAGATTTTTGGCTATGGCTGTGGCTGCCGCACTGCCGCTCTGCCACCTCCCGCCACCTGCCACACACCCGTTTAAGCTCTCTGCCTCCGCCTCTGCCTCTGCCTCTCTGTCTGTCCCCGTCTGTGTGGCACGTTTATGTTTATTTGAGTTTTGCCACTTGGCAGCAACGCTTAACGAGGCATCTCCTCCTGGCCCTCTTCGTTCAGACGCACCACCGCACCACCGCACCACCGTGCAGGCTAAGCCCACAGACACATGCTCGTATTTGTCTTGCTCTTTTAAGCCCAATCGTGCCACCACCCCTGATCCCCAGTCCGGCAGGTCCCCCTCCGCCTCCCCCTCTCTGTCTCTCAATCGGTATCCAAGAGGAGGGCAAAAGAAGAGCAACCGCAAGCACAGACAGTAATTAACGACGATTCTATTGCAATTGTGGCAATTGTTACGGTACTGATTCCATGATTCCATGACTCCATGACTCCATGACTCCCTGGTTATCCATGCCCCTTCCTGTCCAGCAAGGTCACTGTGTGGCACTACCCCTAATGGTCCAGCGACCATCCCTGGGGGTCCAAATGGTCAACTGGTACTGGAATTACTGCGATACACCCCGTTTATGGCCCTCATTTTATGCATTAAAGGGAAGGATATATTAATAGGAGAAATTATGGTCAAAGTTCCTGGAAGAGGCAGGAGCCTTAGAAGGAGCCACTAACGCAAAAACTTGAGAGAAAGTGCTGCAGATGGGCTGGGCTATCGGAAGGGTTATTTAGAGACACATCTGTGGCTGTTCAGATACATGGAAACCCATTGAATGTTTCCGTCTTTGAATAGGGTTCTTCCTGGACACTCCAACGATTCATTCACGTTCCTTTTACCCTCATATCTTATCTGTTAGCTCTATCTATGTTTGAACCATCAAAGAATATCCTGCAATCATTGATCTTTCATTAACACCCAATATATACTATTGTATCACAGGAGATACCATCCAAACCCAACCCAGAAGTCTTTGGAAGCGTTTAGGGATCAGTGATAAGGGATCAATGAGGGATAGTGGTGATGAATCGATAGCTGGTTGGAATACGTATTAAAGCGAGAAGAAAACAAAATAATCGGGAGTCAGGAGTTCGCTTTTACTTGGCTTTTCGAAGCCCATACATATCGATAGGCTCTGAGCCGATAACGAGGAGTGTATAAGGATTGGATCTAAGGAAAGATCTAAGGATCTATAAGTCTTTCAGACGCGTTCTCCAGCACTCACAGAACATGATTGATCGTGATAGACTCCTGGTAGACGAAGCGTGATCCATCGTCCACTATCTAGTGATGAAATCCGTAAATTCTCTTTCAGGCACACTTTTCTATCTAAACACGTACACATGTACTTTCCATCATCTGCCCTGCCCCTTGTAGAACGGCATTCAATATCCATTAGCTTTGGAATGTTGGAATCTATCTGAATATTTTGGATCTAAGTGCAAGTTTCTTTAGGACTTTTATAATACCCTATAAAATACCATTCTATACCACCTATCTCCATATTCTATATCTATCTATCTATGCGTCTATGTATCTAGCTATCTTTCAATCTATGTAACTAACTATCTATCTATCCATCCATCCTATCCAACTATCTATCTATCTATAACTATCTATCTCTATCTATCCATCTATCCATCCATCTATCTATCTATCTTTATCTATCTATATCTACCTATCCATCTATCTATCTATATCTATCTCTCTAGAACTATCTACCTATCTATATCTATCTATCCATCTATCTACCCCTCTATATCGTCTCCATATCTGTATCTTTATTGATTTATGCCATTATTATCCTTCCATTCCGTACGGACATATGCCACTTAATCAGTCTATTGGTTATTCCACACTTAATTATTATCTAAGCTCCACTTCTAATCTCCCTCTCTTCTCCCCCACTCTTCTCTCTCTCCCTCCCTCTGTTTCTTCGGTAAGATTCCTTGCATTTATTGGCAATACAAAGAAAATCCGAAACAAGAACAATTTCCTTGTTTGTGAAATTTATAAAAAAGATTTTCATATGCAAAAGGGACAAGTGGAAAACAGGAAACGGGGAAACGGGGAAACGAGGAGACGAGGAGACGAGGAAAAGCCTTTTTCCCAATGATTTGGCTTTCCATTTTGCCGTTCGAGTAACGAGTAACGAGAATCGAGAGTCATTATTATTATTATTGTACGAGTAGTTCTCCGATGGATTTTGGGGGGGTTCTTACTGGGTGGGGAGTGGGGTGGGGAGGGATTCCTGTACAGCTGCTACTGCTGGTGGTGCTGTTGCTGGTAACATGCCACAGCACGGGGCACTGTCTGGTACTCTGCTACTCTGATATTCTCGCATTAAATAAACATTTTATCGTGATATTTATAGAACATCGAATCGAACAACAATTTGTGTCTGTCTGTGTGTGTGTCTACTGTGTGTGTGTGTGTCTGTGTGTGTGTGTGTGTGTGTGTTCAATGTTGCAATTTGCGCAGCAAAAAGAGGCCTCCTATCCTTTCGTGCACCTATTAATATTGATTTAAATGGGGGTCGAGGGGGGTACGAGGGGAGGTTGCACTTTATGGGCTAGGGTGGACTGTAAGGGTCGTAGGCGTAACTTCAATCCAATGTTCAAGTGGGTCACACAAAATTGCAAAACGTTGCAAGGCGGCAGGCGGCAGGCGGCAACAGAGGTTGAGGGAAAGTGCCACAAAGTTGAGGACAGAGATTGTTGCAATTGCTCTAGAGATACGGGATTGCACTGACAGGGGGAGAGAACGTGAGAGAGACAGAGTGAGAGAGAGAGAGAGAAAGACTCTCAAAGTGAAAAGCCACAAATTTAAAAGGCAAAACTCAAAAATAATGTGTCTCCTGTGTGCAATTTACTCACAAATTCAGATTCAATTTATGCAACTCGAGGCAGACAAGACCCCCCATGCCCCCCCCGGCCACCCCTCATGCTGCCACATGCCCCAAAAACGAAGGACGGAGGCACCAACGAGGGCGACGGGGCAGGGGGAGGGGGAGGGGGGCAGAGAGAGAGCAAGGCTCTCTGGATAACAACAGAAATGTGTGTGAGACCGGAGAGAGAAATGCAGAGACATTCAGGCTTGCCCCGCGCCTCCCCTCACCACTCTCGGGGAAGTGGTGTGTGTGTGGGGCTTGGGGCAAGGGGGCCAGGGGAGGGGGGGTGTGTGTACATGCAACTTGGGTTGCTTGTTGAATTTTATAAAGCCGTTTCAGAATGCTAATGAGCGCCACGCACACAAGCCAAGGATGATGCTTGCTGCTTGCCTCAACCTGTGGCAACAACAACAGCAACAAAACGGAAAAAAAACCAAAAAAACGGGAAGAGGGGGAAAAGGGAAAAAGGAAAAAAGGGTGAGTCTGCGACAGGTGAGCCACAGCCAGAGGCATGCTGTCGGCCAGGTGGGAGAGGGGGAGGGGTGGCAGGGGGAGGGTGGCGGCGTGGCAATCATGTAACACATACAAAACACCGCAGACACGTACCAAAACATCGGAGGGGGCGCACACACGAAAGAGAGAGAGAGAGAGAGAGAGAGAGCGGGCAGGGGGGGTGCCTGGGGCGGGGGAGGGGGAGAGGGAGGTTGGTAGGTGCTTATAAAAGCAAAATAAAAGTGTTATTTGAATTGAGGCAACAGCAGAGCTTGCAGCTTGAGCGTTGGGAAACTTTAGCCCCTCTCCATCCCCCTCCCCCTCCCCCTTCCGGCGCTACCCAAAACCTAGAGATCCAGGACTCCAGAAGGACTGAAGCCGGAGCTTACGCACAATTTAGCAAAACACAACTCTTGTGCATGTATTTAGCCCTTCCGCAGATACACAGATACACTCACGCCCGACAGCAGATCCTGCAGATAGTTCCAACCCCCTCTCCGCCCCCCACTAGTGGGGCAGGGCATCCTGCAGTTAAGTTGGCGGTTGGCTTCGTTGCGTCTTGCGTCTTGGATTACCGTAAATAATCTCCCTAAATGAGTTACCAAAAAACGGTCAAAGTTCAACCATCAAGGTGTTGCCTCGCCACCCTCCAGCAGGGGGGGGGGGGGGGGGGGGGGGGGGATGCGTGTGTGTGTGTGTGTCTGCTTTTGTAATCGCCACATTTGCCTTTGGGGCGCCACACACA